AGAAAAAATTTGGTTCTCTTAGAACTTTAACGTAAAATGTTCTAAGGGATTTTCCTCAGAATTTAAAGGTGAATTATGACTCCAAAGTAGATTTCGAGAGTGGAAATTAGCCTTTAGCATCATTCACTTAAACTTTGTAGGAAAATTCAAAGGTATCTGGTATGGGATGGGTAGCCTAAAGCAGAGATTTCCTTGAGGGGCTCATGAGACAGTTTTCATGGCATTTCATTTACTTCTCTTTTCTTTCCTTTTTGATTTCTTTTCAAAATTCTTTCTACTACTTATTTTTCTGTTTTCTCCAATTGTTCATTTTAAATATCTTGTTTATACTATTGGAGCAAATATGTTTTTTTCTTTCTTGCTCACACTTGAAATTTGCTGTAGACGCTCCAAGGGCATTAACAAGCCCCTTTAGTACCCCTGAAGAATGAATTGCTCAATAAAGTGAAGTGTAAGTTTGATTTAGACATGCTAAGATCAACTGGGCTTTGGATCATGGCCCGTTATTGATTAAAGCTAAGGTAAATGGTCTTCCAAGTTTTTGTGCTTTTGAATTGATCAGTCTCGTATTGGCATGCAGTTACAGAATTTTATTACTGGCCAGGTGTGGTGGCTCATGCCTGTTATCCCAGCACTTTAAGAGGCTGAGTCAGGCAGATTACTTGAGTCCAGGAGTTTAAGACCAGCTTGGGCAATGTGGCAAAACCCTGTCTACAAAAAAATTTAACGGGTGTGGTGGTGCACATCTATGGTCTCAGCTATTCGGGAGGCTGAGATGAGAGGATCACCTGAGCCTGTAATGCAGAGGTTGCACGGTGGCTCACGCCTGTAATCCCAGCAATTTGGGAGGCTGAGGTGGGTGGATCACCTGTGCTCAGGAGTTCAAGATTGTGTCACTGCACTGCAGCCTGGGCGGCAGAGTGAGATCTTACCTCCAAAACAAAAAAAGGCCAGGCGCAGTGGCTCGTGCCTAGAATCCCAGCACTTTGGGAGGCCAAGGCAGGCAGATCATCTGAGGTTGGGAGTTCAAGACCAGCCTAGCCAACTTGGTAAAACCCTGTTTCTACTAATAATACAAAAATTAGCTGGGCATGGTGGCATGCGCCTTTAATCTCAGCTACTCGGGAGGCTGAGGCAGGAGAATTGCTTGAACCCGGGGGCAGAGGTTGCAGTGAGCTGAGATCGTGCCACTGCACTCCAGCCTGGGTGACAGAGCAAGACTCCGTCTCAAAAAAAAAAAAAATCACATACCCTTTGACAGAAAATTTGTCTTACAGAACATTTCACATATACGCAAAGATAAATGTACAAAGAATTTATACCAAAGCATCAGTAAAATGGTAAAAGTTAGAAACAAAGTGAATCACTATAAAATGAGAAGAAGTATTGAATTATGGTCCTAAGAAGAGCTAACCTGATGGTATCCCAATCCAATAATAGAAGATGTGTATAGAAGATGGCTATGATGGCACTGGGAGGGCAAGGTGGAAAGGGCCAAATAAGCTGGAGAACAGAGCATGTAATCCATCCCCCTGAGCTTACCCTGGGAGCTTGTCCACTATCCTGTTATAAGTCTGCCTACCTATGCCCAATCATCTGTGGCTTTCCTTTGCCAAGGAAGTCTATTCAATTGGAAAAAATTCCCCTGTCATAGTAGCACTTAATATTAGCTGGAGGTAGGAGTAAGGGAAACTTCATTTATCTTATATCCTGGGGACTTAGCCCCCAGAGTGTTAATATTTCCTCCTCTCCAAGAAGCTGAGGCAGCTTCTGCTCTCTGTCTTCTTGGCCACTGGTTCCAAATCTTTCTTTAGGCACCACCCTCTTTTGTTGTATATGTGTCCTTTGCTCCTTCCATGGACTCCCATGATGTGAAAGATTTTATCTGCCAAATAGTAGCATAATTTTTCCCTTACCAAATTAACAAAGCCTTCCATAACTGTATACACTAAAGTCAGTGCCCTCAAGGTTGGGGAAATCATGTCTTCAGAGTGTACTGTGCTAAACACTTTACATGAATTATTTTATTTAGTTTTTAAAACAATCCCATAAGGTCAGTTTTATTTACATTTTACAGAAAAGGAAGGAATATTCTGAGAATCACATAGTTAAGTGGAAGAACCACTTATATAAAAGAATTGTATGAAAATGCATAGAAAATAACCTGGGAAATTATTTCTGGGAGATGGAGAGTGCTGAAAAGGTTTCAGTTTTTACTCTACTTTTTTTTTTTTTTGAGACAGATTCTTACTCTGTCACCCAAGCTGGAGTGCAATGGCACGATCTCACTCACTGTACACTCCGCCTCCTGGTTTCAAGCAATTCTCATGCCGCAGCCTCCCGAGTAGCTGGGATTACAGGTGCGCACCACCATGCCCGGCTAATTTTTGTATTTTTAGTAGAGACAGGGTTTCACCATGTTGGCCAGACTGGTCTCAAACTCCTGACCTCAAGTGATCCAACATTTCGCCTTGGCCCTCCAAATGCTGGGATATACAAGGTGTGGACCACCATGCCCCGGCCCTTTACTACTTTATGTTGTTTTGGGATTTTAATTAAGCACATACTTGTTTTTGTAATTTCAAAAAAGTTCTCAGAGATAAGAAAATTTGGGCCAGGCGCAGTGGCTCGTGCCCTATAATCCAGACCTGTGGGGAGCCAAGGTGGGTGAATCACCTGAGGTCACGGAGTTTGAGACCCAGCTGACCAATGTGGAGAAAACCCCATCACTACTAAAAATACAAAATTAGTCGGGCGTGGTGGTGCGTGCCTGAATTCCAGCTACTTGGGAGGCTGAGGGAGGAGCATTGCTTGAATCTGGGAGGCAGAGGTTGTGGTGAGCTGAGATCGTGCAATTGCACTCCAGCCTGGGCAACAGAGCAAAACTCCGTCTCAAAAAAAAAAAAAAAAAAGAAAAAATTTGGTTCTCTTAGAAACTTTAACGTAAAATGTTCTAAGGGATTTTCCTCAGAATTAAAGGTGAATTATGACTCCAAAGTAGATTTCGAGAGTGAAATTACCTTTAGCATCATTTCACTTAAACTTTGTAGGAAATTCCAAAGGTATCTGGTATGGGATGGGTAGCCTAAAGCAGAGATTTCCTTGAGGGGCTCATGAGACAGTTTTCATGGCATTTCATTTACTTCTCTTTTCTTTCCTTTTTGATTTCTTTTCAAAATTCTTTCTACTACTTATTTTTCTGTTTTCTCCAATTGTTCATTTTAAATATCTTGTTTATACTATTGGAGCAAATATGTTTTTTTCTTTCTTGCTCACACTTGAAATTTGCTGTAGACGCTCCAAGGGCATTAACAAGCCCCTTTAGTACCCCTGACGAATGAATTGCTCAATAAAGTGAAGTGTAAGTTTGATTTAGACATGCTAAGATCAACTGGGCTTTGGATCATGGCCCGTTATTGATTAAAGCTAAGGTAAATGGTCTTCCAAGTTTTTGTGCTTTTGAATTGATCAGTCTCGTATTGGCATGCAGTTACAGAATTTTATTACTGGCCAGGTGTGGTGGCTCATGCCTGTTATCCCAGCACTTTAAGAGGCTGAGTCAGGCAGATTACTTGAGTCCAGGAGTTTAAGACCAGCTTGGGCAATGTGGCAAAACCCTGTCTACAAAAAAATTTAACGGGTGTGGTGGTGCACATCTATGGTCTCAGCTATTCGGGAGGCTGAGATGAGAGGATCACCTGAGCCTGTAATGCAGAGGTTGCACGGTGGCTCACGCCTGTAATCCCAGCAATTTGGGAGGCTGAGGTGGGTGGATCACCTGTGCTCAGGAGTTCAAGATTGTGTCACTGCACTGCAGCCTGGGCGGCAGAGTGAGATCTTACCTCCAAAACAAAAAAAGGCCAGGCGCAGTGGCTCGTGCCTAGAATCCCAGCACTTTGGGAGGCCAAGGCAGGCAGATCATCTGAGGTTGGGAGTTCAAGACCAGCCTAGCCAACTTGGTAAAACCCTGTTTCTACTAATAATACAAAAATTAGCTGGGCATGGTGGCATGCGCCTTTAATCTCAGCTACTCGGGAGGCTGAGGCAGGAGAATTGCTTGAACCCAGGAGGTGGAGGTTGCCGTGAACCAAGATAACGCCACTGCACTCCAGCCTGGGCGACAGAGTGAGACTCCATCGCAGTAAAAAAAGAGAGAAGAAAATAATTACCTACTTTGGGCTGTATTTCTAAGCAGTCCAGTTCTGGCAAGACTAGCTGTATGTATTGAGACACAATCAGCTTTGCATGTTTTTCTAGCTGTATTGCTATTAATATCAGAAGGGAATGCCGCCTTCCTACCACTGTCATTCTTAAGTGTTTTTTCCCCTTTGCCTTGGAGGAATTATAAAGATGTCATGAGAAACTTGGTCAGCTATATCAGAAATACAATGTTCATTTCCACTGTTGTTTTTGTTCTCTATAGCTTCCCATTGACCGGGGTGGAGGTGAAGGAAAGGCCATGTACATTGACACCGAGGGTACCTTTAGGCCAGAACGACTGCTGGCAGTGGCTGAGAGGTAGGTTACTGGTTTAGATAAGAGGGAATATGGCTACACTTATCAAAGTAGTGACTGCCCGGGTTAGTTTGGCTGAAGAGTGTTTCTTCTGTAACCCCACTTCCCAAAGTTATATGTGTGGTTCAAAAGAATGACTTCCTTAGTAGAAAAAGGTGTTTTTTTTTTTTTTCTTCCAGATGGAGCCTCGCTCTTGTCACCCAGGCTAGAGCGCAATGGCGTGATCTCAGCTCACTGCAGCCTCCACCTCCTGGGTTCAGCCTCCCTAGTAGCTGAGATTACAGGTGCCCGCCACTACGCCCAGCTAATTTTTTGTATTTTTAGTAGAGATGGGGTTTCACCATGTTGGCCAGGCTGGTCTTGGACTCCTGACCTCAGGTGATGCACCTCCCTTGACCTTCCAAAGTGCTGAGATTACAGGCGTGAGCCACCACACCTGGCCAGGAAAAGGCATTCTTTACAGTTGCTCTCAGACTGGATTAAAAAAAAAAAAAATCCAACTATATGTTTTCTTCCAGAGAAACCCTTTAGAAAGTAAAAGAATGGGCCGGGCGCGGTGGCTCAAGCCTGTAATCCCAGCACTTTGGGAGGCCGAGACGGGCAGATCACGAGGTCAGGAGATCAAGACCATCCTGGCTAACACGGTGAAACGTGGCATGCGCCTTTAATCTCAGCTACTCGGGAGGCTGAGGCAGGAGAATGGCGGGAACCCGGGAGGCGGAGCTTGCAGTGAGCTGAGATCCGGCCACTGCACTCCAGCTTGGGCGACAGAGCGAGACTCCGTCTCAAAATAAAAAAAAAAAAAAAAAAAGAAAAAGAATGGAAAAAGATATTGCATGCAAATAGTAACCATAAGAGACCCTGAATGGCTATACTATTGTCAGATAAAGTACACTTTAAGACAAACATTATATACAAAGAGGAACATTTTATAATTAAAAGGTCAGTTTGTCAGGAAGATATAACAGTTGTAAACATATACACACACGCCTAACAACAAAGCCCCAAAATACACGAAACAAAAACTGAATTAAAGGGGGAAATAGACAACTCAACAATAATAGTAGGGGACCAGTTTTTCATTTTCAGTAATGGATACAGGCTTCAATATCTCACTCTCAATAATGAATATAACATGTATCAGAGGTCCTACTAAAGGGCATCTGTGAAATACCTACAGGTAGCATCATACTAAATGGTGAAAATTCTCTGTTGCCCAGACTGGAATGCAGTGGTGGTATCTTGTCTCACTGCAACTTCCACCTCTCGGGTTCAAGTGACTCCTGCCTCAGCCTCCCGAATAGCTGGTACTACAGGCATGTGCCACCACGCCCAGCTAATTTTTGTATTTTTAGAAGAGACAGGGTTTCTCCATGTTGGCCAGGCTGGTCTCAAACTCCTGACCTCAAGTGATCTGCCTGCCTTGGCCTCCCAAAAGTGCTGGGATTACAGGTATGAGCCACTGCACCTAGCCTTAATGGTGAAATTCTGAATGCTTTTCCCCCTAAAGTCGGTAACAAAGCAAGGATGCCCACTTTCACTATTTACATTCAGTAATGTACCGAAGATTGTGGACAGTGTAGTCAGACAAGCAAATGAAATAAGTGGCATCCAGATTGGAATAGAAGAAGGAAAACTATTTACTGATGACATGGTGCTATATGTAGAAAATCCTACAAGAAAAACTAGAACTAAATAAACTGGTTCAGGAAAGTTGCAGAATACAGTATCAATATACAAAAATACATTGTATTTCTATATAGTAGACCATAACAATTCAAAAGTCAAGCTTAAAAAAAAAAAATCTTCACAGTAGCATGAAAAAGAATAAAATACTTAGGAATAAATTTAACAAAAGGAATGTAAGATTTGTACAGCAAAAACTCTTAAAACATTGCTGAGAAAAATGGAAGATTTACATAAAGAGAAACATTCCATATCATGGATGGGAAAACTCAATATTATTAAAATGGCATTCTTGGCCAGGTACAGGGGCGCACACCTTAATCCCAACACTTTGGGAGGCCAAGGTGGGCGGATTACCTGAGGTCAGGAGTTCAAGACCAGCCTGACCAGCATGGCGAAACCCTGTCTCTACTAAAAATACAAAAATTAGCCAGACATGGTGGCGTACTGCCTGTAGTCCGAGCTACTTGGGAGGGTGAGGAAGGAGAATCACTTGAACCAGGGAGACAGGTTGCAGTAATCTGAGATTGTGCCACTGCACTCCAGCCTGGGTGGAGTCTGTCTCAAGACACCAGACTGAGTTCTCCTCAGATTTATCTACAGATTCAACACAATCCTTATCAAAATTCCAGCAAGCGGTTTTTTTTGCAGAAATTTACAAAATAATCACATGTATGGGATATAACATATGGAAATGCAAAGGACCCAGAATAGCTGAAATGTCTGGAAAAAAAAGAAAATTTGAGATTTTAGACTTTTTGGTTTAAAAACTTATTATAAAGCTACAATAACCAAGACAATATGGTGATGGCATAAGGATAAACATGGAGAGTTCAGAAATGAAACCTTTATGGTCACTTGATTTTTGACAAAGGTAAGGGGCGATTTTTTTAAATTTTAAATTTTTTGCAAATACACATGGTCTCGCTGTGTTGCCCAGACTGGTCTCGAACTCCTGGCCTCAGGTGATCCTCCCAACTCAACCTTCCCAAAGTATTAGGATTACAGATGTGAGCCACCAAACCTGGTTGACAAGGCAATTTAATGAGGGAAAGAATGGTCTTTTCAATAAATTGTGCTGATGTAGGTGAATTTCCAAATGCAAAACAATAACTTTAGACCCTTACTATACACCACACGTAAAAATTAAAATAACAGTGTGGTCATTCCTCAAAAAATTAAACACAGAATGACCATGTGATCTAACAGTTCCATTTCCTGCTATATATTCAAAAGAATTGAAAATAGGAACTCAGAGACTTGGACACTGATGTTCATAGCAGCATTACTCACAATAGCTTTGGAAATAACCCTATGTCCATTGACAAATGAATATATAACGTGGTATATACACACAATGAAATGTTATTTTAGCCTTAAAAGGAAGAAAAAAAATTTTTTTCTTAGACCTAGTCCTGCAGATAAAAAGATAGGAAATTCTGACACATGCTATTAACATCCACTCACCTTGAGGACATGCTAAGTGAAATAAGTTAGTCACAAAAAGACAAAAACTGAGGCCAGGCGCAGTGGCTTCATGCCTGTAATCCCAGCACTTTGGGAGGCCGAGGCAGGTGGATCACCTTAGGTCAGTTGAGACTAGCCTGGCCAACATGGTGAATCCCCATCACTACTAAAAATATGAAAAATTAGCCAGGCGTGGTGGCACACACCTGTAATCCCAGCTACTCCGGAGGCTAAGGCAGGAGAATCGCTTGAACCTGGGAGTCGGAGGTTGCAGTGTGCCGAGATCATGCCATTGCACTATAGCCTGAGCAACAAGAGTGAAACTCTGGCTCGGAAAAGGGAAAAAAAAGGACAAAAACTGTATGATTCCACTAATATGTGGTACTTCAAAATCAGACAGAAAGTAGAATGTGGTTTTCTGAGGGTAGGGAGACTGGGGTGTTATTGTTTAATGCTACAGTTTCAGTTGGGGATGATGAAAAAGCTCTGGAGATGAATAGTGGTGATGGTTGCATAGCAGCATGAATGTCCTTAATGCACCTGAACTGTATACTTTAAAATAGTTAAAATGCTCAATTTAATGTTGTATGTTTTACTATACTGTTTTTAGAAGGGTGGTAATCCTAAATAAGAGCCTAAACTATAATGTTTCAGAGAGAACATGGGGGGAAATCTTAGTGACCTTGATTTCCTTGATATTTGGGTAGTGACCTTGATATTTGGGTAGGCAAATATTTATTAGCTACACCACCAAACACACAGTCCACGAAAGAATAAATTGATAATAGAGTGAGTTTTCACTTCATCAAAATTAAAAACTTTTGTGCTTCGAAGGACACTATGAAGAAAATGAAAAGATAACCCAAAGAATGTGAGAAAATATTTGCAAATCATGTATCTGATAAAGGTCTAGTATCCAGAATATATAAAGAACTATTATAACCCAACAATAAAAAGATAATCCAGTTGTTTAAATGGGCAAAGGATTTGAATAGATATCTCTCCAAAGAGGATATACAATGGCTGATAAGCACATAAAAAGATGCTCAACATCATTAATCATCAGGAAAATGCAAATTGAAACCGTGGTGAGCTACCACTTCACACCCACTATGAAGGCTATAATAAAAAAAGACAGTAACAAATACTGGGAGGACGTAGAGAAACTGGAACCCTCACATATTGCTGGTGACAATATGCATTGGTGGTCTCTTTGCAAAACAGGTGGCTGCTTAAAAAGTTAAAAATGAATTTACCATATGACGCAGCAATTTTACTCTAGTTATATACCCAAGATAAATAAAAACATGTCATACAAAGACTTGTATGATAATGTTTATGGTATCACTGTAATAGCCCAAAATATCCATCAACTGGTAAATGAATAACCAAAATTTGTTTTCTCCATACAATGGGATACTCTTCAGCAATAAAAAAAGAACTTAAGTACTGATACATGTTAACAACATGGATGAACTTTGAAATATGCTAAATGATAGAAGTTAAACACAAAAGACCACATATTGTATGATTCCGTTTATATGAAATTTCCAGAAGGGGATAATCTAAGAGATAGAAGAATTGTGGTTACTGTCGATAGGAATTAGGAGTAACTGTGAATGAAGCTGAGAGATTTTTTTAGGGGTGATGAAAATGTTCTAAAATTGGATTGTGCTCATGGTTATACAACTCTGCAAATTCACTAAAGCTCTCAATGAATTTTATATTTACAGCAGGTCATTTTTGAGGTATGTTAATTGTACCTCAGTAAAGCTTGTGAAGAGGTTATAAGTTTCTGTATCCTCAAATAAAGTTTTGAAATACAGCCTCAAAATTGTTTTACTTCTTTTCCTTTGTCTAGGGTCAAATGTGGTAATTTAGCCCTGCCACACATTTTATGGAAACCCAGTGATAAAACAATTTAATTATATGCTGAGATGTCAGACTCAAGTTGGAACCTGCCTAAATAAGTTGAGGAGAATATTCTCTCTTGTTTTATAATCAAATTATCTTTCCCAGCTTATAATTTGAGGACTGCAACCTATTAAATGTATACCCTGAAGCACAAAATTAGGTTGGAATAGTAATTGCAGCTTTTTGCCTCTGCCTACAAAATCCCTATGAAGGAAAAGGAATTACTCTTTTGCAGCCTGATCTTAGTTTTCTGAAGATGTATATACTTGTGTCTTTTCTCCCAAAATTGTTTTGGCAATCTTGTACAGCATTCATACTTTTAAGTATACTATTTTAGTAGTTTAAGGATTCTCTTTTGGACAGAGTCACTAAAACATCGTCTCGTAACATAAGTATTCAGATAGGATAGATGAGCTAGTAGAATATAGGCTATGAGGACAAGAACTTTGATTTGGTCAACCGCTGGATGCCCAAGCCATAGAGCAGTGCATTCAGCATTTGTTAATGAATGTTTTGCTCACAAAAAATATTTTTTTTGTTTGTGTTTTTAGAGATGGGGTCTCACTCTGCCCCGCTAGAATGCAACAGTACAATCAACAGTACAACAGTACAACTGCAGCCTCTGACTCCAGGGCTCAAGCAGTCCTCCCTCCTCAGTATAGCTGGGATTACAGCCATGTACCACCAAGCCCAGCAAATATTTTTCTATTTTTCTTTCTTTTTCTTTTCTTTTTTTTTTTTTTGAGACAGAGTTTTGTTCTTGTTGCCCAGGCTGGAGTGCAATGGCATGATCTTGGCTCACTGCATCCTCCGCCTCCCATGTTCAAGCAATTCTCCTGCCTCAGCCTCCTGAATAGCCGGGATTACAGGCATGCACCACCACGCCTGGCTAATTTTATATTTTTAGTAGAGAGGGGGTTTCTCCATGTTGAGGCTGGTCTTGAACTCCTGACCTCAGGTGATCCCCTGCCTCAGCCTCCCAAAGTGCTGGGATAACAGGCATAAACCACGGTTCATGCCATTCTCCTGCCTCAGCCTCCCGAGTAGCTGGGACTACCAGCACCCGCCACCACACCTGGCTAATTTTTTTGTATTTTTTAGTAGAGACGGGGTTTCACCGTGTTAGTCAGGATGGTCTCGGTCTCCTTACCGCGTGATTCACCCACCTTGGCCTCCCAAAGTGCTGGGATTACAGGCGTGAGCCACCGTGCCCTGCCTGTTATTTTTGTAGAGATGAGGTCTCACTGTGTTGCCCAGGCTGGTCTCGAACTCTTGGCCTAGAGTGATTCTCCCTCCTCAGCCTCCCAAAGTGCTGAGATTACAGGCAGGCATAGTGACTGTGCCTCACTGAAAAATATGTTTACATAGAAATTTCATTAATTTCTTTTAATCAGGTCTCTTTATCAGCCAGGCGTGATGGCTCGCACCTGTAATCCCAGCACTTTGGGAGGCCGAGATGGTCGGATCACAAGATCGAGATCGAGATCATCCTGGCTAACACGGTGAAACCCCGTCTCTACTGAAAATACAAAAAATTAGCTGGGCATTGTGGTGGGTACTTGTAGTCCCAGCTACTCGGGAGGCTGAGGCAGGAGAATGGCGTGAACCCGGGAGGCAGAGCTTGCAGTGAGTCGAGATCGCACCGCTGCGCTCCAGCCTGGGCCACAGAGCGAGACTCCATCTGAAAAAAAAAAAAAATCAGGTCTCTCTATCAAGAAAAAAATGTGTATTTCTGAGAATGTCACAAGGCCTCCTTAAGCTAATAAAAAATAGCCCTCTTTCATTCACAACAGAAGAACCCTTACTGATTAATTTTTGCCATGCCCTGTTGAAGAATATTAACCCACATTCATGTTACTGTAGCTCTGAGGTTTCCAGAACATGGTCCCCAGCATTACCATTACTTGAGATTAGAAATGCAAATTGTCTGATGGGACTTCAGATCTACTGAATCAGAAACAATCAGATACTCGGGCTAGCAACCTGTTTTAAACAAGCTCTCCAGGGCCAGGCACCATGGCTCACGCCTGTAATCTCAACACTTTGGGAGGCCGAGGGGGTGGATCACCTGAGGCCAGGAGTTTGAGACCACCCTAGCCAACATGGTAAAACCCTGTCTCTACTAAAAATACAAAAACTAGCTGGGCACGTTGGCAGGTGCCTGTAATCCCAGTTACTCGGGAGGCTGAGGCAGAAGAATTGCTTGAACCCGAGAGGCGGAGGTTGCAGTGAGCCAAGATCGTGCCACTGTACTCCAGACTGGGTGACAGAGCGAAGCTCCATCTCCAAAAAACAATAAAAAAAACAAAAAACAAAAAAACACAAGCTCTCCAGGTAATCTTATGCTTGCTAAAGTTTGAAAACCATGACCACAATTGCTAGCCTTGCTTGAAAATCTTTGAAGTACTGTGAAAGAATGAGGCAGGAGAATCGCTCATTTGAGATAAGCTTAGATTTTCAAATGTACATGTTAAGAATAACCTGAGGTATTTGTTAAATATACAAATTACCAGGCTCTTCTCTGATAATTCTAATTCATTGAGTCTAGTTTAGGCCCAGGATTTTTTTTCCTTTTCTTTTTTCTGGTTTTTTTTTTTTTTTTTGAGACGGAGTTTCACTCGTCACCCAGGCTGCCAGGCTGGAGTGCAGTGGCGTGATACCGGCTCACTACAACCTCCTCCTCTCGGGTTCAAGCGATTCTCTTGCCTCAGCCTCCCGAGTACCTGGGATTACAGGCACGCACCACCATGCCCATCTAAATTTTGTATTTTTAGTAGAGATTGGGTTTCACCATGTTGGCCAGGATAGTCTCGGACCCCTGACCTCAAGTAATCCGCTTGCCTTGGCCTCCCAAGGTGCTAGGATTACAGGCGTGACTCACCGTGCCCAGCCCAGGAATTTGTTTCCTAACGGGTGTTCCAGGTTATTCTTATCTTTAAGGAAGTTCAAGAAACACTATGAAAGAGGATGCTATTTCCAGCCAACTTTTCCCAAGCTGTGGGAATTCCATGTCCTGCTTCTGGAGCCTAAGCACAGAGGTTCCTGTAGTTTTTTTTGTGAGCGCTGCTGAGAGAAAAGCTAGGACAACTCTTTTTTCTGGTAAACCTTCTCTGTTTTTATAGCAAATAGATAATCTCCCTTTTTTTTTTTAATTTTTAATTTTTTTAAATTTTATAAATAGAGACAGGGTTTTGCCATGTTGCCCAGGCTGGTTTCAAACTCCTGAGCTCAAGCAATCCTCCCTCCTCAGCCTCCCAAAATGCTAGGATTACAAGCATGAGCCACTGTGCCCAGCCTCTTCTCCCTTTCTGATAGTAGATTATATCAGTGTATTTTTTTGTTTGTTTTTGAGACAGTCTTGCTCTGTCACCCAGGGTGGAGTGCAGTGGTGCGATCTCGGCTCACTGCAACCTCTGCCTCCTGGGTTCAAGAGATTCTCCTGCCTCAGCCTCGTGAGGAGCTGAGAAGCAGGGATTACAGGCACCTGCCACCACACCCGGCTGCAGTTTGTATTTTTAGTAGAGACGGTGTTTCACCATGTAGGCCAGGCTGGTCTCAAACTCCTGATCTCACGTGATGTGCGCACCTTGGCCTCGCAAATTGCTGGGATTACAGGTGCGAGCCACCGTGCCCAGCCATATCAGTGTTTCTTGAGGCACAACTAGAAGACTTGTGAAGTAAAGTACTTACGCCTGTTATAGCTTGTTTTTTTGTTTGTTTGTTTGTTTAACCATACATTCACAGTCTAAATAGAGAAAACATATATCTCTTCATTCTTCTTTTATTTGGTCAGGATCGTAAGGTGTAATTCTATCCTTATGCCATCTGTTTAATCTTCATGATAGAATCATGAACCTAGAACATAATTATAGCACACTGGGTTATATGTAAACATTCTCTTTTGAACTTTTTTTTTTTTTTTTTTTGAGATGGAGTCTTACTCTGTCACCCAGTCTGGAGTGCAATGGTGCGATCTCCACTCACAGCAACCTCCGTCTCCCAGGTTCAAGTGATTCTCCTGCCTCAGCCTCCAGAGTCGCTGGGACCACAGGCCACCACGCCTGGCTAATTTTTGTATTTTCAGTAGAGACAGGGATTTGCCATGTTGGCCAGACTGGTCTCCACCTCCTGATATCAGGTGACCCACCCGCCTCGGCATCCCAAAGTGCTAGGATTACAGGCATGAGCCACCGCTCCTGGCCCTCAAAGAATAGATTTGATGTAGGCTGGGTGTGGTGGCTCATGCCTGTAGTCCCAGTATTTTGGGAGGTTGAGGTGGGCAGATTATGAGGTCAGGAGTTCAAGACCAGCCTGATCAGTATGGGGAAACCCTGTCTCTACTGAAAATAAATTAGCCATGCATGGTAGTGCACGCCTGTAATCCCAGCTACTCGGGAGGCTGAGGCAACAGAATCGCATGAACAGAATCGCTGGGTTGCGGAGGTTGCAGTGAGATCACACCACTGCACTCCAGCCTGGGTGACAGAGCAAGACTCCGTCTCAAAAAAAAAAAGAATAGATTTGATTTGTCCTGAAGACTTGCCAGGTAGAGCTCAGAGTAGTTGGGTGCTATCATCTCTCTGCTTGTAGTTTGCCTGAACTTCTTAATAGAAAGGGAATTACATTCTTTGGCCCTGAAACTACTCTCAGTACCACTTCTTCCCTACCTATTCAGGTAATTGTCAGAAATGAATTGCTCATCTGCCTGAGTTCTGTGTGCAGCCTAAAAATGTTCTCTCCTCTCCCATAGGTATGGTCTGTCTGGCAGTGATGTCCTGGATAATGTAGCATATGCTCGAGCGTTCAACACAGACCATCAGACCCAGCTCCTTTATCAAGCATCAGCCATGATGGTAGAATCTAGGTGTGTGCTCAGTGTAAGACACCAAATATGTTCTTCGAGTCCTTCCCTGAGTCTTGTAATGGCTATTTGGCCAGATTGATAGTAGCTTGAATTAGAAATGAGGAGGTTTAAGTTTAATTCCTGTTTTGACACTCTTGCTTTATAGTTTAGGTCAAGTACCTATTAAAAATGAAATCATAATCTACTTGAATTTGCTGGAAATCTTGTTAAACGGTGCGTCAGATGTTAGTGCTGTGCAAATATTTTAATAAAACATCTACATACAAGGAAAACTATGAATATGGGATTTTAGGGTGGTAAAGAAGGGAGCAGAATCTGACACAGGCTAGAAATAGGCTTCAGAGAATCCTTGTTTCCTGTAGGTATGCACTGCTTATTGTAGACAGTGCCACCGCCCTTTACAGAACAGACTACTCGGGTCGAGGTGAGCTTTCAGCCAGGCAGATGCACTTGGCCAGGTTTCTGCGGATGCTTCTGCGACTTGCTGATGAGGTAAGTTGTGGGATAGGGACAGAGAATGCCTACTTTCAGTGGCTGTGAATTCCAGGAACCTTGCTAGGAAGCCAAGACATCAGTGCCTGAGATCATCAAGCTCTATTAGAAAAGGAAGGAGAGAGACATTAGTCATTCGTTGCTTTGTGGGGCAAAGTGGTGGCAGTATTGAGGTTCTTGGAGTGTCTACGGCCACAAAATTGACATTTATCCTTTCCCCATCAGTTTGGTGTAGCAGTGGTAATCACCAATCAGGTGGTAGCCCAAGTGGATGGAGCAGCCATGTTTGCTGCTGATCCCAAAAAACCTATTGGAGGAAATATCATCGCCCATGCATCAACAACCAGGTAAGGTGTTGATGGGATCGATTCTTTTCAGAATGTCATGTTAACTGTGAAGTAGACATGAATATATAGTATTTTCATTTAAGCCCTGTTAAAGCTACTGTTGTATAGACACTTAGGAACTCTTGCTAATCTAATTAACATGCTCTGGTTGGTATAGATGTTTTAGTTCATAAAAGAATTAAAAACCCACAAGTGTGGAAGAATGAATATGAATAATAGAGATGCCTCTCCCTCGTTATTTAAAAAATGTTTGGGCTGGGCACTGTGGCTCACACTGATAATACCAACACTTTGGGAGGCCAAGGTGAGAGGATGACTTGAGGCCAGGAATTCGAGACTAGTCAGGGTAACAAAGTGAGGCCCCTGTCTCTACAAAAGAGGTAGCTGGTGTGGTGGCATGTGCCTGTAGTCTTAGCTACCGAGGAGACTGAGGCAGGAGGATCAGTTGAGCGTAGGAATTCGAGGCTGTGTTGAGCTATGATCACACACCACTGCACTCCAGCCTGGCAAAAGATCAAGCCAGTGTCTTGAAAGAAACTTTTTCTTTTTTTAATGTTTGTTTCAGTATGGACAATCCACTGAGAGGGGCCAGGGCAAAAATGGATTCTGCCAGGTTGGAAATGCACTAAGGAAAACAGTACAGAAATATTCCCAGGGTCCTTCTAGGAAGAATAGATGTCTAAAAAATTTTCAGCTCTGTTATAAAGTCAGGATGGAATTGTTTAATTTTAACAAATTGGTGCTTTGGTCTGTGTCTTTGGGTCAGATTGTATCTGAGGAAAGGAAGAGGGGAAACCAGAATCTGCAAAATCTACGACTCTCCCTGTCTTCCTGAAGCTGAAGCTATGTTTGCCATCAATGCAGATGGAGTGGGAGATGCCAAAGACTGAATCATTGGGTTTTTCTCTGTTAAAAACCTTAAGTGCTGCAGCCTAATGAGAGTATACTGCTCCCTGGGGTTCTCTACAGGCCTCTTCCTGTTGTGACTACCAGGAAAAGGCTTCCGGGAAAACAGCTATTGTATCAGTTTTTCTGATGGTGTAAACAGGAGACAGGTCAGTAATCACAAACTAATCTAAAATGTTTATTCCTTCTGTAGTGTATTAATCTCTGTGTGTTTTCTTTGGTTTTGGAGGAGGGGCATGAAGTATCTTTGACATGGTGCCTTGGGAATGACTTGGGTTTAACAAGCTGTGTACTGGACAATCTTAAGTTTCCAAGAGAACTAAAGCTGGAGAGACGTGACCCTTCTCTCACTTCTGAATTAATGGTAAAATAAAATGCCTGAGCTATGTAGCAAAGGGAATGGGTCTCTGCACAGATTCTTTTTTTCTGTCAGTAAAACTCTCAAGCAGGTTTTTTTTTTTTTTTTTTTTTGAGACGGAGTCTCGCTCTGTCGCCCAGGCTGGAGTGCAGTGGCCGGATCTCAGCACACTGCAAGCTCCGCCTCCCAGGTTCACGCCATTCTCCTGCCTCAGCCTCCCGAGTAGCTGGGACTACAGGCGCCCGCCACCTCGCCTGGCTAGTTTTTTGTATTTTTTTAGTAGAGACGGAGTTTCACCTTGTTAGCCAGGATGGTCTCGATCTCCCGACCTCGTGATCCGCCCGTCTCGGCCTCCCAAAGTGCTGGGATTATAGGCTTGAGCCACCGCGCCCGGCCTCAAGCAGGTTTTTAAGTTGTCTATCTGAATGATCTTGTGTAAGGTTTTGGTTATGGAGTCTTGTGCCAAGCCTACTGGGCCATTAGCCCTTCACCGTCTGCCTGCTTGGTCTTTTATTGCTAAGACTAACTCAAGATAATTCTAGAGTCTTAAGCATTTCAGGCCAGGTGTGGTGTCTTGTGCCTGTAATCCCAACATTTTGGGAGGCCGAAGTGGTGGATCGCTTGAGCCCAGGAGTTTTAAGTCCAGCCTGGCCAACATGGCGAAACCCCATCACTACAAAAATGCCAAACTTAGCTGGACATGCTGTGGCCCGTGCCTATAGTCCCAGCTACTCGATAGCCTGAGGTGAGAGGATCACTTAAGCCTGGAAGGTGGAGGTTGCAGTGAGTTGAGATTGTACCACTGTACTCCAGCCTGGGCGACAGAATGAGACCATGTTTCAAACAAAAAAGAAAGCAATCATTTCAGAGGCTAAGTAAACAGATTTGATTGTGAGGCTTCTAATAAAGTAGTTATTAGTAGTGAATGTGCTGTTTATAGCAGTTATTCTAGTGCAAGCTATTTCAAGACAGGGTTTCCGTAATCTTTTTGGCTCTGTATAGGGGTGATCAGTTTCTATTACTTTAAGATTTGAAACCAGAAAGGAAAGTCCCACTTGCAGATGATTGTACTTGTCTTTCAACCTAATAGAAAATAAAAGACAGACATACCATGGCTTGCCTTGTGGCTTTTTTTTTTGAGACGGAGTTTCACTCTTGCTGCCTAGGCTGGAGTGCAGTGGCGCGATCTTGGCTCACCACAACCTCCGCCTCCTGGGTTCTAGCAATTCTCCAGCCTCAGCCTCCCGAGTAGCTGGGACAATAGATGCCTGCCACCACGCCCTGCTGATTTTTGTATTAGTAGTAGAGATGGGGTTTCACCATGTTGGCCAAACTGGTCTCGAACCCCTGATCTCAGTGATCTGCCCACCTTGACCTCCCAAAGTGTTGGGATTACAGGCACAAACCACCTCGCATAGCCCTGTGATGCTTTGTTTTAAAAGCAGTTCTAGTCTTTTTTTTTTTTTTTTTGAGACAGAGTCTGGCTCTGTCGCCCAGGCTGGAGTGCTGTGGTGCAATCTGGACTCACTGCAAACTCTGCCTCCCAGGTTCACACCATTCTCCTGCCTCAGCTTCCCGAGTAGCTGGGACTATAGGCGTCCGCCATCACGCCCGGCTATTTTAGTAGAGACAGGGTTTCACCGTGTTAGCCAGGATAGTCTCGATCTCCTGACTTTGTGATCCGCCCGCCTCGGCCCTCCAAAGTGCTGTGGTTACAGGCGTGAGCCACCGCGCCTGGCCTTTTTTTTTTTTTTTTTTGAGACAGAGTCTTGCTCTGTTGCCCAGGCTGGAGTGCAGTGGCACAACTCAGTGCAACCTCCGCCTACCAGGTTCAAGCGATTCTCCTGCCTCAGCCTCCCGAGTAGCTGGGATTACAGGCATGTGTCACCATGCCTGACAAATTTTTGTATTTTTAGTAGAGATGCTTTTCACTATTTTGACAAGGCTGATCTTGAACTCCTGACCTCAGGTAATCTGGCCACCTTGGCCTCCCAAAGTTCTGGGATCACAGATGTGAGCCACCACACCTGGCCTGTCTTTAAAGATTAAGAATCAGGGACTGGGCCAGGCGTGGTGGCTCACATCTGTAATCCCAACGCTTAGGGAGGCCAAAGTGGGTAGATCACTTGAGCCAGGAGTTTGAGGTCAGCCTGGGCAACATGGTGAAACCCTGTCTGTACAAAAAATATAGAAGTTAAAAAATTATTCATGCATGTTGGGATACACTTGTAGTCCCCAGCTACTCCAGTGGCTTAGGTGGGAGGATCCCTTGAGCCCAGGAGGTAGCGGCTGCAGTGAGCCCTGTTCACACCACTGCACTGCAGCACGGGTGACAAAGCAAGGCCGTCTCAAAAAAAAATATCAAAGATTGAAAAGTAGCATTGTCAATGTCCCTGGAAGCCAGATGCCAAATGGAGTTTATGGGACTCTTTTTTTCCCTTTACTTCATTTCAGTAGTTAGCACTTCCAATCCATATCTTACCCAAAGTGCTCAGTGACCATCCAAAATGTTTTCTTGTTTTTAAAATAAATTTATTGTACAGTTAAGGTGTACAACATGATGTTATGATACTAATACATATAAGGAGGCCAGGCACAGTGGCTCACACCTGTAATGCCAGCACTTTGGGAGGCCGAGGCGGGCGGATCACCTGAGGTCGGGAATTTGAGACCAGCCTGACCAACATGGAGAAACCCCATCTCTACTAAAATTACAAAATTAGCCGGGTGTGGTTACACATGCCTATAATCCCAGCTACTTGGGAGGTTGAGGCAGGAGAATTGCTTGAACCCGGGAGGCGGAGGTTGCAGTGAGTCAAGATCGTGCCATCGCAGTCCAGCCTGGGCAACAAGAGCGAAAAAAACTCCATCTCAAAAAATATATATACAAAACTTACCTGTGCGTGGTGGCACACACCTGTAATCCCAGCTACGCGGGAGGCTAAAGCAGGAGAATTGCTTGAACCCGGGAGACACAGGGTGCAGTGAGCCCAGATCACACCACTGCACTTCAGCCTGGGTACAGAGCGAGACTCCATCTCAAAAACAAAACAAAACAAAAACAAAACATAAGTGTCCAATGACACTGATATCCCTGCCAGGAAGAATAAGGTTTTCAGCCTGATCTGGTTCAGGTACCTTTTCCTCTGAATGCTCATGTTATTGGTGGCTGGGCCAAGCCGCTTGTTCTCCATACAGAATAGTCAGCATTCCTAATTAAAAAAAAACCTTTAAAACCTCTTATTCACACCTTAATCTTTTGGTGACAGGTCTCACCTGAGCTGGCTAGGAAAAAAAAAAAAGCTGCTCCAGCCTTCCTTGAAAGCCCTCTCAGTGCCACTGTGCAGGATGCCATCCAGAGCTTCCTAAAGGTATTGAGGGGGTGAGGGGGAGAAGAGGGATGCGGGTGACAGAAATACCAGGGTAACCTTGTTTTCCCCCCGAGGACATTATTGAGACCCTTAGTGGGAGGGTTTCTGGTAAGGGGCAATTTTGTGTTTGCCTGTTCTTTGTGAAAATCACCTGGAGACACATGGATTCCCAGACCCACCTAATCTAGGTTTTAGACCAAAAAGGAATGTTTTATTATTAGAATTGAGTGTATCTCAGGTCCTCTTTCATTACTACACCACAAAATAAATCTGAGGGCCAGGCACAGTGGCTAACACCTGTAATCTCAGCACTTTGGGAGGTTGAGGTGGGCGGATTGCCTGAGGTCAGGAGTTCAAAACCAGTCTGGCCAACATGATGAAACCCTGTCTCTACTAAAAATGCAAAAAAGTTTAGCTGGGTGTGGTGGTGTGCGCCTGTAATCCCAGCTACTCAGGAGGCTGATGCAGTGGAATCGCTTGAACCCGGGAGGTGGAGGTTGCAGTGAGCCGAGATCACGCCACCGTACTCCAGCCTGGGCAACAGAGCGAGAATCCATCTCAAAAAAAAAAAAAAATCTGGGTTAGTGTAATAAAGACACAGTGACATTCTGGATTAAGAGGTTGGTTCTTATATGAAAGCATCTCAATTTTTTTTTCTTTTTTTTGAGACAGAGTTTCGCTCTTGTTGCCCAGGCTGGAGTGCAATGGCATGATCTCAGCTCGCTACAACCTGCTACAACCTGTGCCTCCCAGGCTCAGGTGATTCTCTTGCCATAGCCTCCCTACTAGCCAAGATTACAGGCATGTGCCACCATACCAAGCTAATTTTTTTTTTTCCTGTATTTTTAGTAGAGATGGGGGTTTCATCATGTTGGCCAGGCTGGTCTCAAACTCCTGGCCTCATGTGCTCCACCCACCTCGGCCTCCCAGAGTGCTAGGATTGCAAGCATGAGCTACCACACCCGGCCTAAACATCTAAATTTTCTTCTAGGTGGATTTAGGGGTTTGTGCTCGTGGCCCTAAGAATGAACATGAGAGGGGCAGGGAGTACCTGCTGAGTGGCAATAGGCCTTGTTTAGGCTAAAAATAAGCTTGATACCTGTATTTTATATACTGTAAAGAGCATTAATCATAACCTGCCTGCAATAGCCTCTGTAGGTGGACACAATCATGGAGGTGTCAAGTAAGAATAAAGAGCTGATAACATCAAATTTGGTTTATTTCAAGTCTGTAACAAAATATATTCTAGGCAACTTTTCAGACATTGTTTGTTTTATAGCATCATAAACCCCATACCACTGCTGTCATTCCAAAAGCTAACAGGACTCTGGAAGTCATCAAGTGGTCCAGCCCAGGAATACAGGTAGAATTCACATGATAGGTGATAAGAAAGCAATGCCTGTGGGCTACTCTGATCCCTTTTACCTTGGTAGGTAAGGTATGATCTTAGGACTATATGTATTGAGGCCTATTCGTCAGTGAAAAAGATTAAAGTGACAAGTTCTGTGCTTTGTTCCTATAGCTTTGAAGTTCATCCACGTCACCAGCAGGCTCCACCCATGTGTAATCCTGGGGCAGGTGTGAATCTTGATTTTTTTCAAGAGATTACTCAAGGGAGAGAATAACAGAAACCCAAGCCACAAGTACTGCCCCAATTCTAGATTAGGTTAGAGGTTAGAATAAATTAACTAATGGGGAATGGTACTGGGTAGCAGTCAGACCCAGGAGTCAGATTTGTGTGGTTTCCTGATCTCAGCAAGGTCTAAGGAAAAAAGCCTTCCCCCCCTCCCGCTTAAATAGTAGCATCGTCATGAAGGCCAGTGAAATGTGGTTAGTCTCCTAAAGTGACTTCCAATTCTTCTAGGTCCTTCTGGAGAGCCAAATCCTAGGGAGACAAAGAACAAATCTAGGGCTCAATATTTAAACCAGCATTTTCCCAAACCAGTGGAACCTGAGAAGAGGGGCCCTTTGCTTCCTTTCTGAGCTCTGCTACAGTCTTTTTCCTACTTTCCCAGGATAACCTGGAGCCTATTAAATCTGTCTCTTCCCCCTTTCCCCCTAGAGGTAGACACTTTTTCCTAGGGAAATAAGACCTCTAGGAAAGACTTTTTTCTTAAAAATGTCACATGATTCAGTGATGACAGGCAGTTTTGTTTTTTTGAGATGGACTTTCGCTCTTGTTGCCCAGGCTGGAGTGCAGTGGCATGATCTCAGCTCACTGCAACCTCCACCTCCTGGATTCAAGCGATTCTCCTGCCTCAGCCTCCTGAGTAGCTGGGATTACAGGCATGCACCACCATGCCCAACTAATTTTGTAATTTTAGTAGAGACGGGGTTTCTCTATGGCTGACCTTGAACTCCCGACCTCAGGTGATCTGCCCGACTTAAAAAGCATTACCTCCTTCGTGACATCTGGCAGCTCCAGGGCTAACTTCATCCACCACCTAGCTTCAGAGTTTTTCCCTAGTTCTCTATAGCACTGAAAAGAGACAACAGTGAAAACTGATACTGTGTGCTTTCAGGAGTTCCCAGAACTATGTTGAAGTAGAAAAGTGAGTTTACCTTGGAAATATATACCCTTCCTGCTTTGGAAAATCCTGGCTGTAGTTCTTCAGCCTGGGAAAAGGGACAAAGATATTTCAGTAAGAGGTTCCTATATTCTAATCAGGCTGAAGTGTGTTAGAGATTTCTAGTCCCCAACCATGTGGCTGATTCAGTGGGTCTGAAGAAATCTATATTTTTGATAAGCTGTGCAAGTGATTCTGATTTTCCGAACATAGAACAGGCAAACACAAAATTGCCCCCTACCAGGAAAACCCCTCCCATTAAGGGTCTCAGTAATGTCCTTAGGAAAAAAGGTTACCCTGGTGTTTTTGCCTGCCACCTGCCCCTCTCTGATACCTTTAGGAAGCTCTGGAGGGCATCTTCCACAGTGGCACTGAGAGGGCTTTCAAGCAAGGCTGTAGCAGTTTTTTTTTCTAGCCAGCTCAGATGAGAGACCTGCCACCAAAAGATCAAGGTGTGTATAAGAGGTTTTAAAAGTTTTTTGTTTTTTAATCTTTGGGGATATACTGAAAATAGGGTCAAACGAGGCTGGGTCCAACCACCAATAATATGAGCATTCAGAGGAAAGGGCACCTGAGCCAGACCAGGCTGAGGATCTTGTTCTTCCTGGCAAGGAAATCAGTATCAGAAGGCATTTAGGACCAATAAGTCAAGTGCGGAAATGCAGCTTACCTGATAGCACCACCTGCCAAGAAGAAAGTGAGCCATGGGGTTTTCTGGCTGGAGAGCAATGGCTTTGTCCACATGCTCCTAAGGGGAAAATGTAAATATAAACTAACATCAGACACCAGAGTTGCTAAAAGAGAGGCAAGGGCTTTGGAGGCTGAAGGCAGGTGGATCACGCTGAGGTCAGGAGTTTGAGACTAGTCCTGGCCAACATGGGTGAAACCCCATCTCTACTAAAAATACAAAAATTAGCCGGGCATGGTGGTACATGCCTGTAATCCCAGCTACTTGGGAGGCTGAGGCAGGAAAATCCGCTTGAACCCAAGAGGTTAGCAGTGAGTCAAGATCACATCACTGCACTCTAGCTTGAGCAACAGAGTGAGACTCTGTCTCAAAAAAAAAAAAAAAAAAGAGAGGCAAGTCACTGAGGCTGTAGAAAAGCTTTTGGCAGGGAGTCGGAAAGGAGCAGGGAATCTGGGATAGGCCAGCACAAGGAAGGAGGAAAAGCCTGTCCTCACCTTGAAGCTAAAGCCACTCTGGATGCGCCTCTGGATGCTCTCATGCTCAGCCAGCTGACCACAAAGCACCGCATACCTAGGGGGGAAGCAGCAAGCTCAGGGACAAGGGCTGAGCACCATCACTGTAAGGAATGGATGCCCCACCCACAGCCTAGTTGCATTGTCCCCTATCCCTCTACCCTCAACTAGCGCTAAAAATACCTAATTTTCATCTCTACGTAATCCCCTCTCTTCACAGACCTCTGGCCCCAATTAGTATTCTTTAGTAGATAATGGTAGGCTTACAAGTCTCCAAAGTATTCTAGGTATTAAAGCTGGATTCACCACAGTAAATCTCTCTTACACTTAAGAATATTTATGTAAGTTCTCAGTCCGTATCTCCAGATTTCCCCTCTCTCATAAAGAGTACAGCCACAGGCATTAATAAAAACTGAAAGCATCAAAATAATCAGCATGAAAGTATAAGAGACCTGAGTATACTACTTATCTTGTGGGCAGACAAAAAAGTGGGTCTCATTAGCTTTTAAGCATACAGGTGTATTACTGGGACTTGGGAAGCAATTTCTTAGGATAGTCACATTGGGAGGGGATATTCTAGGAATTTCTAATGTTAACTTGGAAACCAACAGAACCAGAGAAAGAAAGACCTCCTATATTTGCCCTCTTCCCCACATTGCCCCTCCCAAAGGGAACCAGCCAGCCAGCTTCCCATGGTCTGTCTTCAGAAACAAAGTCTTACTCCCCCATCCCCCCAGCATTGTTCCTAGCAGCACAGTTGACATTAGATGAGTAACCAGCCCAAGTTGCTTTTTCATGTATATGCTAAGTATCTGGAGGGTATCAGACACTTCTAGAGGCTCATTTCCATGTTTAATCCAAACAGCTGTTCCTCAGGAATAGCTATTCATCCTTGGAAGCCCCGAGAAGCAGTGACACCCAAGAAACAGTTACCTGGCCTCTGAGAAGAACCCTTGCAGAGACAAAAGTTTCAGCAACAGATGGAGAAACACAGCCTCTCACTTAGCTCACAGTCTGAGGGTGGAGACATGAAAAGCAAGGGTGGCAGTGGGAAAGGAACATTTTCACTAAAACTCAGGTGCTGGAACCAGACCCGAGGATTTGAGTTCACCCTGGCCCAGGTAAGTTGACAGAACTTTGCCTCTGATGTTTCCGGAGGGGTGAGCTCACATCTACTTTTCCTCACGCAAACCAAGCAAAGAAGCCGAAGTACCAGCAGCCAGGGATCACACAGTGGAAAGAAGAGCTTGTGCAGGATAGGGGAGCTGCAGATTGTCCCAGCCTCCTGAGAGCTAAGAACTCCAGTTTTGTAGCTAGGATGACTCTTACAAAGCTACTCATTTCTCCAAGCCCCATCAGAAAAAACCTTGTACTCCCCCCTTGCCTCATCCCCAAGCCACCTCCCCTACCAGAAACTTCCCTTGTCTCTGGCTAGGGGTAGACTGAGGCATGTGGAAATACAAGCCAGAGCTCCCTCTCCTGGATCCTTTGGAAAATGCCTCTGTGGCCCAGGCAGAGAAAAGAAAGAGCTGTCCTCTGCTTTGGCCCTTGCTGGCTCTTCCCAGGACACTGCAGGGTGTTATTACCACAGGTGACAGTCAGCACTCTCATCTCCCTTCTCCAGAGCAGCCTCTGCTTCTTCTTTTCCTGTAGGACAAAGGTAGATCCAGAGTTGACACAGCTCTTATGCACACTTTCATAGGAAGGCTTGTGGGAAGAATGACTGCTTTAGCTCTCATCAATCCCTACCCAGCTTGTACTTGTTTGGAAATAGTTGTGAACTTGAGCAGAATAAAAGGCCTCAAACAAGCCAGGCACAGTGGCTCACGCCTGTAATCCCAGCACTTTGGGAGGCTGAGGCGGGTAGATCACCTGAGGTCAGGAGTTGGAGACCAGCCTGGCCAACATGGTGAAACCCCATCTCTACCAAAAATGCAAAAATTAGCTGGGCTTGGTGGCAAGCACCTGTAGTCCCAGCTACTCAGGAGGCTGAGGCAGGATAATCACTTGAACCCAGGAGGCAGAAGTTGCAGTGAGCCGAGATTGCACCACTGCACTGCAGACTAGGTGACAGAGTGAGACTGTCTCAGAAAAGGCTGCAAACGGCTTCTAAGGGAAGACTTCAGGGATGACTTCTGCTTTACCTTGGCTTCCCCATCTGTCATTAGAAACCCAAGTTACCTTCTTTTTTTCCTTTTTTTTTGTTTTCAGACGGAGTCTCGCTCTGTCCACCCAGGCTGGAGTCAGTGGCGCAATCTCAGCTCACTGCAAGCTCCGCCTCCCGGGTTTACGCGCCTTCTCCTGCCTCAGCCTCCTGAGTAGCTGGGACTACAGGCGCCTGCCACCTCACCCGCGCTAGTTTTTTGTACTTTTTAGTAGAGACGGGTTTCACCATGTTAGCCAGGATGGTCTTGATCTCTTGACCGTCGTGATCCACCCGTCTCGGCCTCCCAAAGTGCTGGGATTACAGGCTTGAGCCACCGCGCCCGGCCGTTACCTTCTTTTTATAACGCCCACCTGATGTGCTTGAAGGAGATTTTAGCATTTGAAATATAAAAGGATCCAGCCAGGCACGATGGCTTATGCCTGTAATCCTAGCACTTTGGAAGGCCGAGGTGGGTGGATCACTTGAGATCAAGTGTTCGAGACAAGCCTGAGCAACATGGTGAAACCCTGTCTCTAGTAAAAATACAAAAATTAGCCGGGTGTGTTGGCACATGTCTGTAGTGCCAGCTCCTCGAGAGGCTGAGGCAGAAGAATCACTTGAACCTGGGAGGCAGAAATTTCAACGAGCCAAGATTGCACCACTGCACTCAGCCTGGGTGAGAGACTCTGCCTCAAAAAAAAAAGATCCAACACAATCAGAAATTGTCCCCAGCAGACCTTATTCTGGAGGTGTGGTGTCCATGGATCTCAAGTTGTATAAAATTTTAGGTAACTGGGGAGAGGGATCACAGCTTTGATAAAATTCTCTAAAGGGGATGGGTACATTGGCTCACACCTGTAATCCTAGAACTCTGAGAGGCCAAGGAGAGGATAGCTTGGGACCAAGAGTTCAAGACCAATCTGGGCAATACAGCCAGACCCTATCTCTTTAAAAAAAAAAAAAAATTATATATATATATCTCTTCTCAAAAGGATCCACAATCCAAGAATATTAATTAGCTCTAGACCAAAACTCTTTCACAAGAGCCACATGGACTGAGGTCTGACCAGAGATGACTTTCACTTAGTCTTAACCCAAGCTTTCTAGGTTAGTGTTCTAACAAAGAAATGAAAGCCCATACACATGAAAGTTCTGACAAGCGTCACTTAAGAGTATCAAGGCTGGGCCAGGCGCAGTGGCTCACGCCTGTAATCCCAGCACTTTGGGAGGCTGAGACGGGCGGATCACGAGGTGAGGAGATCAAGACCATCCTGGCTAACACGGTGAAACCCCGTCTCTACTAAAAATACAATAATTAGCCGGGCACGGTGGCAGGCGCCTCCTGTTATGCCCCAGCTAAATGGGAGCCTGAGGCAGGAGAATGACGTGAACCTGGGCAGGCGGAAGCTTGCCAGTGAGCCGAGACATTGCTCCGACTGCACTCCAGCCTGGCAAAAGAGCAAGACTGTCACAAAAAAAAAAAATGAAAGTATCGAGGCGGGAGCCTTGGACTGCCCAGATAAGGATCATCAATATGCTATGCACTGGAGAAGACACCTGCAACATGGGATTCTTTTTTTAAGACAATAGTCTCACTCTGTTGCCCACCCGGGGAGAGTTGGGAGGTGGCAGTACGTGAGTCTCGGACTGACTGCAACCTCCCAGGCCTCCCGGGTTCAAGCGATTCTCTGCCTCAGCCTCCGCAAGTAGCTGGGATTATAGGTGTTGTTCCACCACACCCCCGACTAATTTTGTATTTTTTAGTAGAGATGGTTTTCGCCTTTGCCAGCGCTGCGTCTCTACTCCTGGACCGCAGGTGATGTCACTGCCTTCAGCCCTCCCCAAAGTGCTGGGATTCCGTTCCCAACAGAAGGACCGACATGCCCACCAATGAGGGACATCTCTTTTTG